CGCAATAATATGTTCGCCAGACTCCTCAAATATGCACTGAACCATAGGATCCGATTTTGCTAGACGTTTCAGTCCTTCCACCTGCAACAGGAAACAGTATAACTTTTGCAATCAAAAACTGTGGGTAGGTGAGGGAGCACATTAAAATTTGCAAAAAAAAACTCACAAGCTTTGGAAGGTCGCCTGCATTCTTCGGCTCCACGGCAACACGCACGACCGGTGACACTGAGAATTTCATAACACGAAGATTATGAGCATCTTTAAACGTTGTGATAGTGCCACCTTTCACCAAATATTGGTCAACGCCAACAAGACCGGCAATATTGCCCGACGGGATGTCCTCAATTGGCTCCACATACCGGCCCATCATCAAAATGGTACGCTGTATGGTTTTCTCGTACAAATCCTCCTTCTTTCCTGGCACATAATTTGGTCCTTGGATCCTGGCTTTCATACCAGTCGCCACCTAAATACATAGCAAAACTTCACTCAACTGTAGGCTAGAGACACGGCTCCGGGCACAATGTTTCATAACTGAGCAAAACGTAAAATGCTGCTTTCGAACGTAAAATGAAATCAGTTATTTGCTGAATCAATTTTGAGGGCCACAGCGACGATGCAACAGCAGTTTTTCGTCAGTCTGAGCATTTCATCACTCAAATCAATTTTCTAGTTTTTAGCTTCTCTTCGCATAGCCTACTGACTTTCAACTGTCCCATTCTTCTACGCCGATCTTCCTCTCCAAGTAAAAAGAAAGAATTGTCATATGGCACGGTGAGTAACTTTCATCCTCTAAAATGAAAACAAAACCATAACAAAAGCGAACTTTTCCGGAGAAAACACGTCCGAAGGCATAGAATCGTCCCTTGTCCGACGTGGGCACCATTTTTGACACGTACATCATCAGCGGGCCACGCGGATCACAATTCTTTATTGCTACAGCGGCCTCGTCATCGTGTGGACCTTCATACAACATTTCCATCCTATACTTTTGAGCAGTTACGGGAGACGGCAGGTGGATGCAGATCATTTGAAGCATCGTATCACCCGCTGGCAACCATTTACGCATCATCACCTGAAAAAGAACCAACGTGAAGACACTGAAAAAAAAAAAAATCCGAAAGCTGTTGGTTTCGATTTTCACACTGAAATATGCGAATTACTCACTAGCATAACCTATCCATTTCATCCTTCTTAAACAGCCAGTCTCCCAGAAAGCCAATCTTCGAATCTGTAATTCCTTGAAAGTTAAACAAACCTTCATGAGTGGTTTTCCCTCCAAATCTTTTTCATCATGCGCAAGTTTGATGTTGAGCTTTTCAAGCAGCTTCGCCGTCTCATCTTTTTTCACGTTCATGACGGCATCGAAGACCTTGAAGATGGGATCCAGCACAAACTGTACAAATCCGCGCTTGCTGTCCGCGTCCTGTGATGAAGACCACTTCTTCGTTTTGAGGTTGAAGAAACGATCGCCCCACAGATTACGCATAAGTTTGTCGACCTGAAAGCAGAAATTCCATAAATCGGCCGAATCATCCAATACTACGAAATAACTTTTTCTTTGTAAACCGCAATTCAATTTTCCCATCATATAAAATATCACTGAAGTTGCAACGGTTCGTATAAACCTTGGCATATATTCACAGACTGCCATTTCACAAATCAGGGCTTTCTAAAACTAGTGATTTCAGCAACAACAAAGAGCTGCGGAGGAGCTCCAAGCATTCGCAGAGAGAAAAACTAAACAACATTGTGCAATATGTAATGAAATATCAAAAAGATAGCTTCGAAAGTTCCAAAATATTCAACTTATAGCTTACTTCAGCTGACGGCAAAAAAGTCTGACAGACCTTAAAAAAAATTGCTGCTCCTACACTGCAATTGGTAGGATGATCTCATCAAGCAATCTTCCATAGAGAATGTACAAACTGACAACAACGTGACGCATCATCACCCATAGCTACCAATTTTGAGGTGAAAAAGGAGCATGCGTAGTGGCCTCCGAGCCGTAAAGAACGAAAAAAAGGCAATAGGCACTGACCTGAACCCCAAATTTCTCGGCGTATATCTCGGCGAACTGTTTCAGTGTGAAAGCCCAACCGTGCAAGCCCGAGCCA